TCTCCTCTCCTCTCCTCTCCACTCCTCTCCTCACCGCTCCTCTCCTCTCCTCTCTTCGCCGCTCCTCGCCTTTCCTCGCCGCGCCGCGCAAGGCTTCGCCTCGCCTTGTCCCGCCGCGAATCGCGATTCTCAGTTCCGTCGCTCCTCCAACTTCTCGATGCTGCGGGACCCGTCGTCGGTTTGTTCTCCGCGCGGCCAAGGTGCGATAATCGTGCGGACTGGCCACGGCAGACCGTGCCAGACAAACGGAACGAATCGAAGGCCGGCTTATCGCGAAAGATAGGTACCCGCTCCATATTTGCCGTAGGTACGCGGCGACGGATTTCGCGGCTCGGCTTCGCTCGGATAAGACACATTTCCTCGAGCGTGCTCGAGACGGATACGCTCGCGGGCTTCGTGGACGACCGCTTTACTCGCTCCACCGGTATGTCAGCCAGTCCGACGGCCACCGCCAGGGACGAAAAAAATAAAGAAAACTTCAGTTTTAGAAAGTCCGGGGATTATCGGTGAAACGGAGCCTCGAATCTTTCCGGATTGTCTTCGCGCAACGCCCGGTAAGATAACGAGCTACGAATGAAACGGCGGTCTCACTCTCTCTCCCTCTCTCCACCTCTCGTTTTCTCTCTCAGGTGAGTGTGTCATGGTTTCTCCTTCTTCGGCTTCTTCTTTATCATGGTCATCATCTTCTTCTTCTTCTCCTTCTTCTTTTACTACTGCTACTTCTGGTTATTCTTTCTTTCATTTTTACTCTCGCCTCGACGGGATCGCTCCGTACTTTTTCACCATTGCCAGAAACACGCGATGAGAGATCGGTACACGAGAAACGAGGAGATCTGGGAATGTTTCGACATCGAACGCTGCATCGTTAAAGACGCCCTCCGGAGCCCGGATATAGAGGTCGTTTCGCAACCGTTCGAATCATCTGTTACGAAATTCGACAACGTGTTCCTGTTGTCGAGCCGCCACCGCCGTCTATCAGGTTTGATAAGAGCATCGCGTTATTTAAATATAAAATCGCCGCGGAACGTGTCCGGTTCACGGCGCCGCCGCGCCGCGCCGCGCGTACCCACCGAAAACCACTCTCGCCGTTGTTTTCCGTGTCACGGTCACGCGCGCGGTTTTCCGTCGAGAAATCGGGAGAATTCGCGCGGAAAGGCGGACGAAAACCGAGGCGGAGACGGCGGGAGTAAAAAGAGACGGTGAACGAGAAAGAGAGAGCGGGTTTGATAATAAAATCGAATCCAGACACGAGCGTAACGCAGCGAGATCATAACTTTCTCCGAATGGAAGCTCTTACGAAACTTCGTACCGGTTTGATCCGTTGCCTCGAGTCCGCCGAACGAAAACCGGCGGCTTCTGTGTCTCGCGGTACAATAGAGAATCGCTGTTAACGCGCCGAACAACGGATCGGACGGCGAACGTTCGTGGAAATTCGCTCCTCGGGAAACGGAGAAGCGAACGACGAATTCGTTACTTTCGTCTAGAGTATCGTCGAGCGTAACGCGCGATAAGGAACGTTATCGACTTCCACGAAAATCTTCATCTTCGTTTATATCTTCGAAACGAACGTTCAGATAGGAATGCTAACCGACGTTTCCGATAAATCGACAATGAAACGGCCGGGCGAAATCGGTTCTGGTATCTCCCTTCGATCGGGACGCGTCCGATCGCGGCCGACGAGGGAAACGTCGACGCGTCGCGAATCGTTCTAACGTTGAACCGTCACGCCGCTCCGACTGGTCGGTGGACGCTTAATCGACTCGCGGCAACGCTCGCCGCGATTGATCCGCGGCTAGGCGCGACACTAGAGTACAGCCCGGTACGGTTTATCTCCGACCACGCAGCTGACGAGATACGAGTAACTTTCGTTGATCTCTGTGAACCCGGCGCGAATCGGGCTGAAACGGCGAGCAGGAAGCCCGACGGTGCAACCGTGGATACGCGGTTTTAAGCCGGAGCAATTATGACGCAACTAATTATGACATAACGCGAGCGTGTTGCACGTCGCCGATTCAGCGGAACCGTGTTCCTTCGGCGACGCATCGAAACGATCGTGATCGCGATCTCGGAACGAAGCCGCGCCGTCGTCGTCCTCCGTCTCTCAGCCGCTCGCTTTCACCGGCGGGCACGCCGGTGTCTTTTCGTCTCGTCTCTCGTCGAGAGCAATGTCGGCTCGAAAAACCCGGGGACAATTTCCATGCGCGCGGTCGTTTCCTTGGAGTCTCTGGACTTTCTCCCATCGAGATATTATTCGTTTGCCGATAAAACACGGTATACGCAGTTGCAACTGCGGATCGACGATTTTAAACACGTTTAATGTATTCTTCTTTTCTCCTGTTTGCAGATCGTCTAAGACGACACCGCGCCGCTGCGCCGCTGTTAGCTTTCAGCGGTTACGACGCGACGCCCTCGGCGACGCGCGATCGGAGCGGTCGGCCGAGAAACATCGGCGCGATCGATTCGATCCACGCGATCCGCGGACGCCGGCGGATCGGGCACGATTCGGCTTTGCGTTCCTGGGAAAGTAAGATCGGCGAACGGCCGGTCGAGCCCGCGAAGCACCGGCGGAGAGCAGGTTATCGATGGCACCGAGAGGCGATCGGATGGAGCGATCATCTCCCACGGAAGAATTCCATCGCCCCGAGCGACGCAACGATCTTGGCGCGGACATTTTCTTTGGTTATCTAGCTGTATGAGTTTTATTCGACATCATAAAGCTAGGTTACCGGAGTTAAGCTCCTCGCCATATCAGCATCGGCGATCTTCCCCGTTGCTTTTCCCGCGCGCCCCGAGGACAACGATGCGCAACGCTTCGTGTAATCTCTGTCCCACGAGAGCTGGCTGTAGAAAGAAATGGCGATTTTTAACCTTGTCGTTGTAAATAATAAAGCATGTTTTTAACCCTGCGACAAAAGATGCTAATAAATATTCATCGTGGATCATCGACGAATGTCAGTTTCCTCTCCCCCGTCCTTTCCTGTCCTCTTGTTCCCCATTTGTTTGGAATTCGTAGCCGATACCGCGACGCGTCGACGGAGGAATAGAAAAAAACGACGAAAAAGAAAACGCGTCTAACGCGCTCCGGAGACTTCTGTATTCCCTTCGCGCGTGAACCTACGGGCTGGGCATTTGTAATTGCTGGTAGTGGCATCGCCACGTGACTCGAATACACCGTCGAGGACTTTTCAGGTGTTACGGGTATCGATATATCCTTTTTATCGAAAGGTCGTAATCCGCGGAGCTTCGCGACACCGGAGACGAGTCCGTTTAATTGGTCCGTGTCGCGAAATATGTAAACGCATTTCGTGGGACGATCGCCGACGACCGTGCCCGTTACACCTGACGGATTTCCATAAAACGTTTCGTCGGTGGAGACGAATTTCTATTTTTAAAGGCCGCAGTGAGCCGCGGTCGGACGGCGCGAGTAAATCGCGTGTGCGAAAGCGCGGCGATGCGGCGAGCCGTATGCAGAAACGCGGATGCATGTTTGCAGGATGCGGAGAACCTCGATTCGTTCGATACCTCGTCCAATATGCGCAAGATTCATTTATTTGTAAGAGCCGCAGGCGGCGCCACGTGCCGACGCGGGGACCCACGGTTCCATACCGACCGAACATTCGCGAAATTTCGAATTTCCGCTCACTGGGAACGAACCTTAATAATCGCTTAAGCGTTTCCAGCGTTCCGTCGTCGCGAATTATTGCGTCCTCGACGGCGACGCTTCCGAACCGACCGGATACCTTCTCGTCGCTGGTTTAGGAACTTTCGTCGAGAAGTTTCACGATTTTCCATGACTCATTCTCATTCTAGAAAGATTTTCATTCATACGTGGCCACGATGTAATCTTCGAAACGCAATCGTCAGAACGAGGCGTTTCTCGGAACACGCCTACGTAGATGTTTCGCGAACAATCCTCCAAACCGTCGAGTATCTGCCACGTGTTTTCTTTCAGAAACTTCAGACCGATGCGAAAATGATGCGAAAACGAGGGCGGCACGCGGATAATCGAAATTCAAACGATTGCCATCGAATAGTCAAGGATTCCTATTTTATCTATGGCGAGCAAAATGAATCGATCGAGAACAGTGGCTGCGAACCGCACCGAAAAATGGCTGGTCGTCCGTTTAACCGTCCGAGTTCACCGAAGAACCAGGAATATTCCAGAAACAGCCGAATCATTTAATACGCTTTGTTCCGATCGGTATTGTTTCGCTCGCATGTCTAAAAGTGTCCGATATATTCGATTCATTCGGGCCGAACAAATACCGGAAGTACCACGTTATGGGAAAAAGAATCGATGCGATTTTTGTCACTGAAACGGCACGTGATTCCGGCCGATTAATAGGAAAACGTTCTCTTGTATTTTTTCATGCCGGGAAACGGCGTCTCCGCGCGTGAAAACCGTTGGTTGACGAAAAATTCTCGAATTAGATTTAAATTTCACCGGAAATGGAGCAGTCGAGGAGGCAAAAATGTTCTAGAACGTTCTAGAACGTTCTAGAATTTAAGCTGGTATATAAAGCGGAACTAGTTGACGCGCTGCTCCATTCAAGAAAGTACCAAGCGCCAGGCAGTGTATGTGCTTTCCGGACGAATATTTCTACGTCGATTTTAACTGAGCATCAAGGTAAAACCGCATTGTATTTCACTTCAGGAAAGATTCGCCGCGTTTTATTCTATTCAGAAGCGACGTTCCGCGGATAATCGTTCCGGATAATCGTCATTTATACAGAAATCCGAACCGTTCAGCTCGTTACCCTAATTAATCGAAACTTGTGGATGTTGTTGAGCTTTCCGTGTTTTTAAATATTTTTTTTACAGTGTCCTCGCGTTCACGTGTGTGTTTTTCAGAATTTATTTTAACTACAGTGTATTTTGATATATATCCGAGCCACGTGCTTCTTATTCGCGCGAAAGTGATCTCGTTTTCGTTATCTTCGGTAGACACCGGTAGCGTGTTAGTACGTTAAAAATTCTGAAATTGGAATTTTCGTTTTAGATGTCGACACAAATGGAAACCGAGGGAGGAGAAGTGGAGACCTTTGCCTTCCAGGCAGAGATCGCACAGCTTATGTCCCTGATCATCAACACCTTCTATTCGAACAAGGAAATCTTTCTTAGAGAGTTAATTTCCAACTCCAGCGATGCCCTTGACAAGATCCGATACGAATCCTTGACAGATCCATCTAAACTTGACTCCGGTAAAGAATTGTACATTAAGATCATTCCTAACAGGAATGACCATACTCTGACCATCATTGATACTGGTATTGGTATGACGAAAGCTGACTTGGTTAATAACCTTGGTACAATCGCTAAGTCTGGCACCAAAGCGTTCATGGAGGCTCTTCAGGCTGGTGCTGATATTTCTATGATCGGTCAGTTTGGTGTAGGATTTTATTCTGCCTACCTTGTAGCGGACAAAGTCACTGTCATTTCAAAAAATAATGACGACGAACAGTACTTATGGGAGTCTAGCGCAGGTGGATCGTTCACTGTCAGACACGACACAGGAGAGCCCTTGGGCCGTGGAACAAAAATTGTTCTGCACATAAAGGAAGACCAAGCTGAATACCTGGAGGAAGCTAAAATTAAAGATATTGTAAAGAAACATTCCCAGTTCATAGGTTATCCAATTAAATTGGTTGTACAGAAGGAACGTGAAAAGGAACTCAGCGAAGATGAGGCTGAGGAATCTGAAGAGGAAAAGGAAGAGAAGAAAGAGGAAGATGAAGGAAAACTGAAAATTGAAAATGTAGGTGAAGAAGGTGCAGATGACGATAAGGAAGAGAAAGAAAAGAAGAAGAAGAAGAAGACCATTAGAGAAAAATACACTGAGGACGAAGAGTTGAACAAGACCAAGCCCATTTGGACCAGAAACCCTGATGACATTACTGAAGAAGAGTATGGTGAATTCTATAAATCGTTGACCAACGATTGGGAGAATCATTTGGCTGTGAAACACTTCTCAGTTGAAGGCCAACTGGAATTCAAAGCTTTATTGTTTGTTCCACGTCGTATGCCGTTCGATCTTTTCGAAAACAAGAAGAGGAAAAATAATATTAAGCTGTATGTAAGGCGAGTATTTATTATGGATAATTGCGAAGAATTGATTCCAGAGTACTTGAACTTCATGAAGGGTGTGGTAGACAGCGAAGATCTTCCCCTCAACATTTCTCGTGAGATGTTGCAACAGAATAAAATTTTGAAGGTCATCCGCAAAAATCTTGTTAAGAAATGCTTGGAGCTCTTCGAAGAACTCACAGAGGACAAGGCTAATTACAACAAATTCTATGAACAATTTAGCAAGAATATTAAGTTGGGTGTCCATGAGGACAGTACCAACCGTAACAAATTGTCTGATCTTCTGAGGTACCACACTTCTGCTTCTGGAGATGAATCATGCTCTCTTAAGGACTATGTAGGCAGAATGAAGGAGAACCAGAAACACATCTACTTCATCACTGGAGAGAATAAGGAACAAGTTGCAAACAGTTCTTTCGTTGAACGCGTAAAGAAACGTGGTTTTGAAGTAGTTTACATGACTGAACCCATTGATGAATATGTTGTACAACAACTGAAGGAGTTCGATGGAAAACAGTTGGTATCTGTCACCAAAGAGGGATTAGAACTTCCTGAAGATGAGGAGGAGAAGAAGAAGAGAGAAGAGGACAAAACCAAGTTCGGAAACTTGTGCAAAGTAATGAAGAACATTCTTGACACCAAGGTTGAGAAGGTCGTAATTTCAAACAGATTGGTAGACTCTCCCTGCTGTATTGTTACATCGCAGTACGGCTGGACTGCCAATATGGAAAGAATTATGAAAGCTCAAGCTCTCAGAGACACATCTACCATGGGATACATGGCAGCGAAGAAACATCTTGAAATTAATCCAGACCATGCTATCATTGAAACTCTGAGACAAAAAGCAGAGGCTGACAAGAGTGACAAGGCAGTAAAGGATTTGGTAATTCTGTTGTTCGAGACTGCTCTGCTTTCGTCTGGCTTCACTTTGGACGAACCACAAGTCCATGCTGCAAGAATTTACAGAATGATCAAGCTGGGTCTTGGTATCGACGAGGAGGAACCAGCACCTGAAGAACAGGAACAAGAAGCCGCTCCCACCGTTCAAGAAGAGGACGACATGTCACGAATGGAAGAAGTAGATTAGATATAAGATCTGAATATGACATAAAAAGTTAATGTCATTATAGTCGTTAAAAGACTGTTTTAAATAACCACGTTTTATGTGGTATTAATAGCCATCTTCATTTTCATTTCCTGTATCATAAAGACCCTTACTTAATTTATCATACCAAATTATGTTTAAATGCCAAAAATTGTTTGGAATAAGTTAAACTTACAATAAAGTAATGTTTATTATATACACGTGTTAATTTTATTCCTGACAGCCCTGAACACATACCATGTTCGTTAGATATACATAACTACAATACAGAACAGCAGCAATTAAAAACAGTCATGATTGCATTAGGTTCTCGCCATTTGATTTCAGAAGTTCGACGTTTCAGTGTTACTGTAATTAAATCATCTGTTTTAAAAATTGTCTGTACGCATTACCAGAGGGTATGTTTTAACTGCATTTCAATTAGGACATCTAATCGATTAAATTATTAAGTACATAGTACAATATTCATTTCTAGACTTGTATCGCTGACCCTTTCGCGAATAGCCGGTAGAATTTCGTAGTTGTACAGGTATTCGCCGATATTGTACCCTCGTTCACTAAACTATGTCAATAAACGCCATCTATTCGAACATTTGAAGTAGACAGAAGGGAAATTCTGTTGCAGGGAAGCCTCTGCGGTAAACGGATTAGTCTCAAAGAAAAATAATGATGGCTACGAAAGGTTGGAAGGTCAGTGCATCAGTATATTATTAATAAAGATGTACTGTATGGTATTTATGCACCAAGCAACCAAAGCCTTGTTACGTATGAAACCTGAATGTTCGTAGGTGGTAAAGCCTCACGTGCCGCTGATTAAATTTCGAAAGGGTGGAATTACTAGAGGTAACGTCGCATTGTTTAATTTCTGAATGTTTCTAATGAAAGAACCGATCGAATTCATTTCTGTTATTGTGGTTAGCAAGTGCAGGTGCAACAGCCACATCGACTGCGCATTCAGGGGCGACGACTCAGCGGTCTACCAGTGGTGCAACGGGTCCTAACGTGACGGTTTTGCCAACGATAGAAGATATTTACCTGCCCCCACGATTCCAAAGACGACCGATAGATGAGAAAGAAATTGCATACATTAATGCAAGTATACTGCTAATTTTTCTGTCAACACTTTTACAACTTAATTCAATCTCTTACGCACGATGGTGTCTATGATACAGTACAAAGAACATTGTGATATCAATAAATTAATATTTGAGATATGTAAAGATTTCTCTGATGTATCTAATTTAAGACACACATGTTGTATTATATTATTTTTTCTATTGCAGAGAGGTGGTCCGGAATAAGCCCATCTTTTGGTGAAGCATCATCGAATCTTAGAACCTTGTACACATGTCATTTCCTTCATGCGTTCTCTTGTATAATGTACTCTGTAAATAAATGAAAGCAAAACAGCCAGCCACAAGTTGTACATATTTTTGTCTTTCTCCTATCAGGCAAGGTCCCTCTCCTTGCTCGTGTGACATTGCCAGAACCTGCTATTTCTGGCTAGCTTTTTGGCTCATTCTTGTAACAAGGAAAATGTGTTGGTTTCAAGACAAGACGTAGGAATTTTGATTAAATTGATTTACATACAGATGTAACATATGTGCGACATTATTTTGGTATTGCTGTTGTCAATTATTCAGCATCTAAGTACAAGGTAATACAAGTTTTGCCAAGTACACTTGTGTTAATCTGTTATTTTTAAATATTTATTTCTCCATGCAACTCATTCTGTCATACAGATTGCTTTTAAATGAAGAGATCTTTCATTTTTGTATATCTTTTTTCAAATTTCGATATTTTAATTTCAACATTCATAAGTTTAGAATAAATAATTTGGGAGCAAAAGCTAATAGAGACAGCCCTGTTCCATGACAGAAATAGCAGGCGACAGTGCGCTGTGTCTTCCATCCGCTCGCGATCCCTGGACGTGATAGCGAAAGATTCGCGATCATTGTACCTTTTATCGAAACTGCGAAAGCTACACGAACGACGAATTTACGAAAATGGCCGAGATAACGGACTTTGGGCCGAGAAAGACGATTTTTATTCTGGCCATTGTGGCCGGCTGTTTTGCGGTATTGTGGCCGAAAATTTTCTATCCTATGCTCACAGCATCTGTCACACCACATCACACATCTGATAGTTCAGGTAAGACTTTCATATACATCTTTAAATCTAAATATTAGGGATACGTTTATGTAGAAATTGTATATTTTATCTATAAATCTCACAGAATTATTGGTAAAAAGTTTACTTATTTAAATGCAATTGCATCAAAATGCACATTTTCTTCTTTTATGTTAATTATTCATGTAATATGACAATTGATAGACTCTCCTTTAGTATCAATCAATTATGTTCATGTATATTTGTCAGCTTGCTGCGATGTAATATTTGAAAGCGATGTCACTGCGGGGGATATTATGCAGGAAATATGCCAGAACATATTGAAGCATCATCAAGTAGATCCACGTGTAAGAGATGTATTGAAAAGTTTAAAACTGACAGCTCAGAGTGCTAATTTATGTAGAGAAGAAATTTTAGCCAGATGTGGTATAGATTTGTCCACATTTCTCGCGGATAGAGAACGCTTGGGAAAGACTTACAAACAAGTTTTGGAAGAAATCAGATCATTTAATAGTTCCCTTTGCCTTAAGATGCAGTTTGGTATACCCCTTGCTCAATTAGGAACCCCACATCTTATCAGATATCATATTTTAATGCCGCACAGTAAGGATTACAAAAGGTTTTGTTGAAAACTTCTGATGATTGAAACTAATAAGACAATAGCATGCTCATCTTTGATAATGTTTTAACAGAAACTCTATTAATATTTACTAATATTACTAAATTGATAAATTTACAACTATCTGGAAACATGATTTCGATACTAATAATTTCACAAATTATGTATAGAAAGCAGATTCAAGTTATCTCTTTTGCCTTGGCAAGTTGCCAAAAGTGCAAACATAACGACTGATGTGTAGATGGGTATAAGTTTGGCCTATAGTCATAGTTGGAAATACATCCTAGTAATGACCTCTTCCACTGTTCATGAAAATTACAGACTAACATTGATCTTATAAATCTTAATAATAGTGTAGTACATATGTAACTTAGTTTTAATTCTGCTTATTTTATTTACATGTACTGATCAATCAATGTTTTAGGCACAATACACCAAGAACGACGAACACCTCCTCATGCAGGAGGCTTACATCCTGCATTGAGAGAACGTGGAAGGGCCATACCTTCCTCTCACATTGTGCCAAAGGTAACAGATAGACCTGATCATGTTATACCAAAAATGAGGCCACCCTTGGGAGGTGCAGGTCATGTTGTTTCTGCACCAAAAGGAAATGGTACAATGGGAATCATTATGCCCCTGTATACTTTAGGCATTGTACTGTTTTTCCTATACACAATTGTTAAGGTAAATATTGCAAGGATATTACTCCCATGTAATAGTAGACTAAAAAAAGAATTAACTGCTTGTTTTAGGTGTTGAAGAAAAATTCGGATAGTGAAATTATTTCAGAATATCCTGGAGCTGCAGCAGAAAAAGAATTCCGAAAGATGGTATTCAGTCCCGAAGCCTTTGCTACTGCAATGACTGGTGGCACGTTACATTACCGCAAGGAAAGATCAGAGTCACCTCACAGGCCTCCACCCACCATAGAGGAGCTGAAGGATCGTAAGTTTTCTCTATGTTTATAAAAATGATTAATGACACTTGATTTACATCATCATTAATGCAGTGTTTTCCTTGAAAGCTATTTCCTTTAAAGAAATACTGAAAAATAAGGTACATGTTTTTTTGAGTATCTAATCAGATTTTTAAATGGTGTTGCATGATGCAAGGTTTGCACAATTAGAACACACACGTATTTACTCTATAAATTTAACCGGAGAAATTGTTAGTCTAAAATTATAAATACTATAAGTACTCGTGTACATCCTCTGAACACATTTGGTGATGTTATACATGCTGGAACACAAGAAGCGGCAGGAGACATAGAGATAGATCAACTGAGACGACGTTTGGTCGAGACGGAAGCAGCCATGGAAAGAATTGTTGTCCAGATGGGCAACATATCACGTTCAGTTATGCATAGTCCAAGCTCACAACAAGAACTCAAGGTTTACTAGACTAATTTTGAAGCAGTTTACATTTTCAGTTTCTTAGCGTTTAGAAATATGCACGTTGTTGTGTTCTGATTGCGTTTCAAGCTTTACCTATCCTGATGTACATTATATACATATTGTACATTTAGTAAGAAATCGTCAAAATTTTGCTTTCTCTTCTTCTATATTTCAATGCTTCTGGATAACCGTTTCTAAATCATTGATAATTAATATTTTAAATGTCCGTCTGAATGAGAAATGCGTGCTCATATTTTAGCTGAGTGAAATACTCGTTATAAGCATTTAAGTCAATGAATTTATCAAGTAATAGAATATTCAGTTCTTATTTTTACATTTAAATAGTAGATGGACCTCCAAAGTCCCATGGTCTGGCAGGGGTCGATCGCTCATCTAAGGTATATTCTTTGCCTCAGAAATTTTCTAACAAGAGTAACCAAAAGTTTGTGAGAAGTTGTTCTGATTGAATTTCTACTTTTTCGCGAATCATAAAGTTACCGTACCGAAGACTCACATATTAGAATAATAAGAATTCGACTTTGATAATAACATTTAACGTTTTTAAGTAGTACTAGAATATATCAGTATAAAAAATGATACAAATACACATTGATATACGTAATTTTTGTTTGTATTGAACACACACTAGTTCATTTTTAGTGCATGGTAGCATATTTTTAGTAATTATCACAGATTGAGTCAAAGTTTTATAAATTATATGTTTTTCTGTTTTATTATTGCAAGTTCACTTACAGCAGTGTAGCATGGATTTTTTTTAGATGTGTTTATGGTCTGTATTTCATATGTAACTATTATTATGACTTCAGAATATTAAAAATATTTATTTTTACTAATTTGTTAATACGTACATTAACATCTTATAGTGCAGCATTCATTAAACACTGCAGCATTTATACTTATTTTATGTAAAAATGTGTAATTATGTTTTCAAAGCAGTGATGTGTACAGTTATTCATTTAAATAATTTAATTTTCAGGACGATATTATTGCCGAGGCCGAACTTAGGAAAGCAGATGAAGAAGTAGCAAACATAGAAAATTCACCAACCGTAAAAGTTATGGGTATGGAAATGACAGCTAGTTGCGAGGGTAAGGGTAGTAGGCCTACTACTCCAATAATACCCATTCCGCCAAGGTAATAATCATTCCAGAAACATATTTATTCCGTTAGAACTTCGAGTGATCGGTTCTAAATAATTTTAGCCCAGTCGAGAGGGAGAAAACACCGCCTAAACCTATCTATTTAGAAGGCGCATTACCTCCACAGTGCGAATTACTCGTAACTGATTCAGAAACACAAGCACAAAAAGCAGAAGAAGATGCAGAAGCACCTGTTGTACTCTCAGGCAAAATGACCCTTTCCCTCATCAGTTTCGACCAAAATGCAGCTGTAAGAAAATATTAGAATTACCAACAGAATCAAATGAATCTGCGGAGCCTTGTTTTATTTGGTGATTCTTTTATTCATTTAATTGTTTGCTTTTGCATAAATTACCCAATAAGAGAATTGTATATATCTCAGAAATTCTATCGTCTAACACAAAAACAATGCTAATTTACTATTAGAAAACAATTACAAGCATAAACACTATGTTTCGTTGTAAATATTAATGTATCTTTTATACTATACATTGGATATGTTGCTAATCTACTAATTTTGGTTTGAGATAAAACGTCACACATTTCACACGTTTATTACTATCATCACATATATGTATATCTACGAATTCCTGAACATATTAACAGTGTTTAGTTAGTTTGGAACTAATACAAGTTTTTACTGAAGTGATCTTAACGATATTGACTTAGTGGAACTAACTAAACGCATTCAACAATTACATATATACTTGCTACACTTAATTCTTTATTTATTTTGTTTATATCGCAATCCTACAGAATCTACAGTTTGTACACACACCATCTTATTACAATTTAGACATTAAGTTTATCATGCAACAGTGAAAATAAAAGTATTTAATATCGTTTCATTAAATTAGGAATTTGAAGAAGAAAATCAAGAAATACGGACAGCAGATGTAACAGTTTTGAATGCAGACGATACAGATAGGGCGCCGAAAATTGACTCCACTGCAGAAAGAGAACAGGAAGAAGTACAAGTTAACGGCGAAGCTGAAAATGATGTGAATAAACAACAACAAAAGCAAGAACACGAAATGGAAGTAGAAGACGAAGAGGATGAAATTGAAGAGGAAAAAGAAGAGGAAGAAGAAGAAGATGAAGAAGAAGATGATGAAGAAGCTGCTGATGTTGAAGCAAGCGAAGAAGAAGAAGAAGAAGACGAGGGAGAAGACGAAGAAGATGAAGTAGACGATGACGAAGAAAGAGAAGAAGATGCGGATGTAGAATACGAAGAAACAGAGGAGGAAGATGGCGAAGATGAAGAAGAAGTAGAGGAGAAAGTGGACGAGGACGATAAAGAGATGGACGAATACGAAGAAGAGACTGAAGAAGAGGAGGAAGTCGAAGTTGAGGAGGACAACGAGGAGGTAGAAGAGGATGAAGACGAAAACGAGGAAGTGGATGAAAGTGAGAGTGGCGAGGAAAAAGAAGACGACTAGGTGAACGAGGAGCGAGACAAAAATATGGAAGAAAAGGGTAAAAGAAGCTAACAAGAAATTCAAAAATTCGTTGATCAACAGTTTGAATTGGTGAATGATATTAACGAAATAAACAGCAAAGGGAATGGAAACAAGAAAGCCACGGATGGTTGCAAAGTCGGTGCTAAAAACAACGAAATGAATCGAAGTTTCAAACACTAATGGGAAAAGTGAAGTAACAAAGGACAGGGATAAAGTTAACGGGTTGCCTTACAGTGAGAGGACTATTTGGAACGGGACGAACCAAAAATGATAAACCTATAATTGATTGAATCAGTGTTTACCAATCTTCAAGAATCATGTGCCGCAATAAGGATGGAATATAATCGAATGTTTGAGAAAAGTAAGGACAAACATTGAAAATGTTGATCAAGCACTGCCAAACACTTAATACGTTCATAAGACTCGGATTTATTGCATGCTTGAATTTTTGCCTGTTGTACACCCTGTATTTCATTGAATCGGAAATTTCATCAGAGGGGCCAAGTAAGAGGCAGTGCTTTATGTACGTGTCCAATAGTGTCATTGTTTACAACTAACGAGACTGTTACGGTATTCACTCCCTATTAAATATCGTGATTGGCAAGCACTGATCTACATGCTTGTGCACATACCAGTTATTTGAGTTTAATACTGTGCCAGTATTTTTTATCACGACAAATCCCCTTGATAACTTTTGTTGTTCATTTTTTTTAACGTTCAACCATAATCAGTTTTATATCGCATTCTACGCGTAGTATTCGCGTTTTGTTTCAATGGAAATTTTTGTAAGACCGTAGTGTATAGGATCATTTAGTCAGTAGTGTATTGTCATTTTCATACCTATGCTTGATCATGCAATTCTACGATATATCGAGTGCAATTCCAAAGAGTAATCTCTATTATTCTAATGTACGATCGTGCGACGGTTACCGTGTAAGAACAAATGAAATCGAAAGACAAGTAAAAACTAAACGTAATACCTCTTCAAAGCCAATAAATATAAATAATTTATTTAGTTGCATGATATTCCACGAAGAAAAAATGTTAATAATGCATTGTAATGATCACCATTCATTTTCTCTCGCGTAATTAATATGAAACGAAATTGTTAGTACTGTTATAAATTATCTACGAATAGATAGAAATGATTGTCGAATCATAACGAGCAAAAAATGCGGAAAATTGTTAAATTTACAAATTATATAGAAAATATATGTACATTGAAAGAAAGATAATTTTGTAGTTGTTATTTACATCGTATCGAAACATTAACAATTTTTAACGAGAAGTAAGTATTTTTTGGATTATTTCTGTTAGACAGAGATGCCGCATTTTTTGTAATTATAAACGGGACACTGAACGTTCATTTCGTGTAGGTTTTAAATTAATCCAATCTTATATGTGCTAAAACATGTCTTATAGCTTTGATACCACAAACGATTCTAATTCAGATGCCTATAAATAAAATCGAACGATAGTTTTTATAAATCTGTTTTCGAACACATTTATTTAGATTATTATTAAACTGTAAGCATGTTAACGATCGTATTGTTCTTGTTACTACATATCTTTATCTATTCACTGCGAGAATAAATCTATTTAGGCTTGCATACTTTAGAGCCATAGTCATCTTCAATATTGTTGTTAAAAAAAATAAATCATATTATAATAAAGACATGGTTTTATTTTATATTTTAATTCCATAAATAAACTTGCAACGAAATTTTGTTTTCGACACCTTCGATAAATCAAGTTTCAATTGTAATATTCTTTTGCAATAATTTATTTTTCATTTCATCAATAATATTTACAACTAAATAAACCGTGTAATTATGTAATACGGCACTAGCTCCATCTACTACGTTTAAAATAGCGTTGTAACCTATACACAATTCTGGTTCAAAGCTTGATGAATGATAGGACTTGTTTGTCTTATGTATAATAAAATTCCACGTTTTAGCCCAAATTCTACGGTATTAAAGGATTCTTTAAAGTAGCATACTATTATTTACCAATCATCTAACAATTTCTTACTTATGTGCAAGGTATACGTTTACGTTATGTATATCATATACATCTAATCCCGAAAAGATTGTATTATTTTATAATCATCGAGTTAAAAATTGCCTTTTATCTATACCTATTCATTTACGTAAGATGATCGAGAAATAGTTCATTCTGTGTTGCAGAGTGAAACATGTGCGTTATTGAGGACTTCTAATTAATAAACGTGGTAAAATTGACAACATGTATTTACGAGTATGGTAAACCGGGAGGTGACTGGGACATACAAAGTGCGACATTTGGTTCGCGGTATTCTATGTGGTATCCCCATAGCGGTTACCATTTTAGATAGAATTGGTTACATAGCCAAGGTCGATGGAATTTCTATGCAGCCTACCTTAAATCCAGACACATGGATACATGATTACGTTTTCTTGAATCACTGGGCACTCCAGTCCGAAGGCATTCAACGTGGTGAGGTGGTAGCCCTCATATCGCCTAAAAGACCAAATGAAACTTTGATTAAACGTGTCGTGGGTCTTCCTGGAGATATTATATGTAGTCGTGGAAGTTATGGACAAATCCTAAAGGTATTTGAGTATACTTTTTTGTACACCTTTATCTTTCTTGTTTAAGGAAATAATATAAACATCTGTTTATTAGGTACCCGAAGGTCATTGTTGGGTAGAAGGAGATCATACCGGATGTTCTTTGGATTCAACTACTTTCGGACCAGTTTCTCTTGGTTTAATAACTGCTAAAGCTACCTGCATTGTATGGCCACCAAAGCGCTGGCAATTTTTAAATCGTACCACGTTGAATCACAAGTTTCAACTGTATTTAGCAAGAGACTAAAGAGAAAACTTCTGTTATGAAAAATGAGAGCCGTCAGTTTCGTGAAACGGTTGCAATGGGATTTGCCTGGGACTGTGTGCAGACATGGATTAACAATAGGAGATCTTGATAACGATGGCGACAATGAATTAGTCGTTGGCACTGCAGAGGGAGAGTTGTATATTTTTAAAGTGAGTCTTTCATTTATATGTAACTTTCCATAGGAAACTTTTATACTTGGAAACTCTTTATGTTTAGGGATCAGAGTTGTGGCAGAAAATACCTGGTTTAGGCCTAATCACTAGTGTAGCTATAGGAGATATCTTTAATTACGGTAGAAATGCATTGGTCGTGATATGTGGAGATGGTTGGGCTCATATTTTTTACAGCCCAAGATCCGTTAACCCCAGTTCCATCAATGCAACTTCTTCTCAGCAGTCTGCCAAAGAAACATCGGATCAGGACAACAGTAAAGGTGAGTTACTTTGTACCCCATTCTGTCTCAGAGTAAATACACTTTGCACATTTACATTCTACAGATCAAACGGATGGGGGCAGCGAAACGAACGAGATGACCGGCAAAATGGAATGCGTTCACGTACAAAGAATTCCAACAAACACGAAGGTGGTGTTGATAGCAGACGTCGATAGAGATGGTGCTAATGAAATGATACTGGGCCTGACCGATCGTGTAGTCAGATCCTATAGGTGGTCGAGCAATCTAGAGTTGGGTAGAGGAAAATTAGTCGGTTTGAATAAATGGGAGTGTGCCAATCAAATAGGGACAGTGACATTACAGGTACGACCAGCCTAGATAAAAATCAATTTCACGATAAGACATTCAATTTCTGTTCAGCACACGGCGGACGGGACGCCGACCTTATTGGTTGCTCAGCCTGGTGGAACCTTTATGCGAATTAAGTGTAATCCTAAGGAGTGTCACTTAGAAGACGACGCTCATAAAACAGACGATGAGTCAGCGGCGAGCTGCGTGGATTACCAAACGTTGGGCATATCGCGAATGCGTAATCAAAATATTTCCACGGAAATCATAGGGGATTTGGAATCCACGACGGTGGAGAACAAACCACCATCCAAAGAGACTACGTCTAAAGAGAACGCGTCGAGTGAAAATCAACGTGGCGAGAATTCAACGTGCCAGTCGACGTCGGAGGGTCATGGAACGAACAAAGTCACCGAGAAAACTGACTCGACGAACGTAGATCAAGTCGACGGCAACATCTTAGGAGGAAATGTGATTCTCGGCGATTACGAGGCGAAGCCGGAGAAAGATACGTTACTGCCCACGTACAAAGACTTCTCTCGCCAAGACAACGGCAACAACAACAACAACAGCAACGACGCTGAAACTCTAAGGCGGAAGAATGAAGCTAGAACTCAAGAGAACGTCGAGCCAAGTTCACCGCGAGGGAAGCCTTACGCTCTCGCTACTCTAGATGGAACAATAATGCTGGTTAAAGACGAAGTTATTTTATGGCAAGTGTCTAAAGCTGATTTCCTCTGGCGGTTAACGATTCTCGCGTGATCTGCGACAGTTTCCTTCCAGGTCCATGCAAGTGGATCATCTGATATTTGCCCTATGTCGTTTGGATGTGACCGGAGACGGCTCGGACGAGATAGTGGCCTGCGCTTGGGACGGCCAGACTTATATTCTGGATCAGCAACGGAACAGCGTGCGCTTCCAATTCGAGGAATCGGTCAGAGCGTTCTGCACGGGGAACTACAACGTTTCGCCCGGCGTCTCGACACCCTGCCTCGTGTACAACACTTTCAACAATAAGGTAATCCTTTATTCTCGAAAATCTTCGGATAAGTGAATGGTAATGGTGGACCGTTTACAGATTTTCCTCTACTACGACGTAACGCTTCCAAGTATGACGATCAGACCTCTGAACCCGTTGGATCTGCTCGATCTCGAGGAGAAGAAGGCTTTCGACGATCTCCTGGCGGGTTGCAGCGACGCGGAAAGACCGCAGAGGATGCAACAGTTCACGGAATGGCTGTTGTACGGGGCATCTTGACGACGTGTACTCTGTATAGGCTAGATGTGTTAAGGGAAATATACATGTATATATTTAAATGTCCACGTATTCCTTGGAAACCGTTTATTTTGCCGTTGCGCATGGCGTTGCACAGGCTTTCGCGTGTACACGCTCGAGGAAGCCGCGCTCTTTCGAAGTGTTTGTACAACGTCCAACGGATTTATTGCTCGCATTAGTGTATCTTTTCTATCCACGGGTGTAGCATTCTTTCCGTATCGACAGGATACGGCCGGTTGTCGCAACTTTCGTCTCGTTCCTTCTCTTATCGCGAAGGATATATGACCGACGAAAAATCCTATAAATTTTTCGGCGGGAACGTCGAGACGGCCCCGGGTTGTGTAGAATAACCCAAGGTTCGGCGCGAAGACGCCGATTTAAGAATGCCAACCTATTTGCGGTACAACACGGTAAACAGAGCTTTATCAGCGTATCGTAAATTCATCTGGCGAACGCTGAAAATCGGTTAAACATATAGCATCGGCCCGGGACGTCACCGTTGCCAGTGGGAATGTGGATCTCATCGAGTACTTTTCCGAAGGTTCGCAATATATCGCTGCGCTACACGGTGCCCCGTGCGGTTTAGTTTCGGTTTAGTACGGTTTCGAAATCCCTCGAGCCAATAATTAATCTTCGAACTGCCGGCCGAGAGACGTTCACGGGACCCGTAATCGGCTAGAGACAGGAAATTAAAGCGTGAGTGTCGTAAATATCGCACCGTTCTTATTTTCGCGGCGCGCGTATGCGAATTCATATACAGTGGCGTTCAAAAGTTCACGGACATGTTTTTGGAACTATCCTTACACTACGAACGCTTTAACTATTCGTTGTTACCGCGTACAAAGGACACGCTCCACGAGAGGATACTGTAAAACAATCAACACCGTTTATTCTTTATACATTCTCAGAAATAAATCATTCAGCGTATTCAAAGATCTTCAGAGCAGAGTGTGTTTAAAAAGGAAAATAATGCTTTTTTATTGTAATAATTATTCGATCTTTAGTATTCAATATATTACACTTAGTATATCGTGATTGTACTCTCTGCATTAGTTACAGCGCATCGATGCGACATGGATTCGATTCCAAAAACGATCCTGCCGGGAACTTTTGAACGTCACTGTATGTACGCGCGCGGGTAACGCCGATAGTCGAACGCGCGAGTGAACGCCCAATTAAACCGGTATGCGCTTTCACGCGTGGCAAAAAATTCATTTTCATTCGATTACGGGGAGAACCGGAAGTGCCGTGTAGTCCCTTATCCTGCCGGGGCAAATTTATGTCCTTTTCTATATAAATTCAAATGAAAGACGAAACCAAGAGGAAAAAAGGAGGAGGGACCGCGCGCGGGATACGCGGAGCGAAATAAAAACGAGCCACCGGGGGTTTTAGGCTGGACGAGTCCGCGGAGCTCAATCGAGTGGCAAATGTCGGCGCGCTGGGCGCGAGTATAACAGAGAACTGTTCGATTAATTCTAGAATGGCGGAGAACGAGACGGGGCCGGACATGCTCGGGCATCCGCTCAGGCAGCTCACGTTCGGATGGACCGACTACACGCTTTTCAGCGGCCTGCTGGGGGTCAGCGTTCTGATAGGGATTTATTTCGGCTGCTTCGGCAAGAAACAGGATAATACCACCGAATATTTGCTCGGAGGGAAATCAATGACTTGTTTCCCGGTTAGCATGAGTCTGGTAGCAAGGTAGACAATTTTCAGGGTGAGATCCCTGGGACCCCTCGTATCCGAATCAGGGAGACGGACGCGGTCGGACGGTCTGTTCCTTCTCGGTGGTAAATTTCGTTCGTTCAAGCATTTCGCGTTTAATCGTCGAGTCGCTTAGAAGTCGATCTGTCGATACTTTCTGATTTTTCGAAATTTTAACGGAGTGAATAATATTTTGTTTAGTTATTAATGGATTTAGTCGTCTCTTCGTTTCTTTTAGGGTAAAAAGCCCTTCGTAGCTTCTGAATATGTTGTATAATCATTTCAAATTCATTACATGAATTTCCTCAGTTTTTGCTTTTTCGACTTAACCGCGTTGTCTTGTGAGCGTCTTGATTATTCGCTAGAAATATACGTTTTCCAATGAGTTGTAGACGTTCTTTGAAATGGACTAACGAGGAAACATACTTGAACGAAGAAACGAATCTATTTTCTTTCAATATTTCACCGAGAGTCATCTCCCGAGTGCAAAGGCTTAAACACGGATCGCACGAAGGCTGAAAGTTAAATTAAATTCGATTTCTTTTCGACCGTTGAACAACAGAAATTGTTCGAGACACGTTACGGCGAGGAGTTCCGTGATACGACGTCGCGATCAAACTTCATTCGGTCGAATCGTTTATTACGGGTAGATTGTTATTCCGATAATTTTAGGGTATTCGTATACGAGGGTCTCCCTTGTACGCTGACTTATCGAGATACATCGATTAGAATGATTAGCCGGGCAATTAAACTGGCTCGTAATTTATTTCAGTCACATATCGGCGGTCTCTTTGCTGGCCGTACCCGTCGAGGTGTATCAATACGGCACGCAATACGCTGCCTGTATTTTTACGTCCTTCATATCGTGCGGCATCATCTCCATTATCTACATGCCGGTTTTCTACCAGCTCCAGCTGACCAGCACATTCGAGTATTTGGAGATGAGATTCACTAGGCCGGTCCGCACGTTCGCCTCGTTCCTCTACGCCCTCTCGTTGATCATTTACGTCCCCTTGATCATTTACGTGCCGGCGTTAGCGTTCTCCCAGGCGACAGCGATCAACCTGCACCTCGTCACGCCGGTCATCTGCATCGTGTGCATATTTTACACAACGATCGTAAGTAAACCCTCGAGGACTCATTCGCGGAAACGTCGTTCCGGCGAGGCGGGGTTAAAACGCTCTCAGATCGGAAGCTGATATTGTCGGGAACGCTTAAGGAAACTGTAAACTATTTGCCCGAATATCGCGATGCTCGCAGTTTAATCGTCGCGCGATAAGAGCAGCGTAACGACGGTAATATTAATAACAGTAACTTTAAAAACGTCAACGGGTCGCGCACATGTACTTACGCGCGGATACGATACGGAGAGATAAAAGCAAAAACCGTTTACGCCGCTTCGTCGGGGTATATTTCAACGGCGCGCCAAGAGGACATGACAAAATTCGGGGAATCGCTCGGGGAAATTTGGCATCTTCTATGAATGAATCACAGACAGCGATTTAACGCGGCATTACCGGTGCCGTTTGTGTTACTTTCGTATCAGTTTTTGCCGAACGATTACCTTGTTTACAGTGTCAACTCGCGCGTCACCGGTAGTTAACATCGCGGAACAACCGAGCGTTCGCGTAAAAATCGGGTTAATTTACGACGACGCTTCTCTTGAGGCTTCTCGAATGGATTTACCGTGGCACGGGGACGAATAAATAAGTCGACTCATCGATTTATAGCTCTACTAGGAACCGGCATATTTTCATCGTCGCGGGTTCGAGCGAGTGAAAAAGAGAGAGATCGCCGGGAAAGGGGTGAAGCGCAGGGAAATTGTGGCTCGTCGGGAGCGTTTTTCGCCCGCGGACGAGCCGGCGTTGAACGGTTCTCGTTTCACGGCGGATCGTAGAAAGTAACGAGAGATTCGCCTCGGGGATACGTCTCTTTCACTGGAAATTTTCAGGGCGGTTTGAAAGCCGTTGTATGGGCGGACACCGTTCAAATGACCGTAACGTTGGGAAGCCTCTTCGCCGTGCTAATGCTGGGAATCATTTCCGTCGGAGGTGTGGCCGAAACGTGGAGACTGGCGGAAGAGGGTAACAGAATCGTATTTTGGAAGTAAGCATCGACTCCATGGAACATTTGGAACTCGCGGCCCGTGCAAAGGACAGTCCGCTGTTTTTCACGCTTCAGAATGTTGCACGCTATTCGTGACCGCAAATATCGTTCCCTTTGCTTCTTCTCCTGAGTAGCTCGAACGATCGTGCGCTCGAGTAACACGAATTAACGTTATCGTTCCTTCGAACAGCATGGATCCCAGTCCGTTCGTCAGAAACTCGTGGTGGAGTATGTCGGTGGGTATGACGATGAATTGGTTGGCGGGCCTCGGCATCAGTCAAATGTCGATCCAACGATTCCTGGCGGTACCGAACATCAAAGAAGCACACAAGTACGTAGAATCGTTCTCCTATATGAAATAGTTAACGGTAAATCCATAACGAGCCGCGTTTCTCTTTATTTCCGTAGGGCAATCGGCTTTTTATCAATATGCCTGGTGGCCATAAAATGGGTGTCGGTGTTCACTGGGCTGGTAATGTACGCCAGGTACCACAAGTGTGACCCTATAAGCACTGACGTACGTCTCTCTTCTTATCTTTTCTCCTCTTTTCTTTTTCCTTCGTTCTCTTCTCTTTTCTTTCCCTCCCCTTCCGAAGCCGGGAGCGGAGCGGTACACGCCGGAGGCTCTCTTTATTTCCGAGAAATTTCAAAGAGTCAATTGGTTTCCAGGTAATCACGAGGAGCGACCAATTACTACCGTATTACGTGTTGGACGTTGCCGCGGGTATTCCAGGACTGCCCGGTCTCTTTCTGGCCGGTCTCGTCAGCGCCGGTCTTTCCACGATGAGCGCTAATTTGAACACAGTAGCTGGAACAATTTACGAGGATTTCATCGATCCCTGGTTGCCGGAGAGCAACGAGAAGGAGGGTAGGGCAGCGACGATCATGAAGGTACGAAAGGAACGTTACCCTTTCCCGTTTTACGTTTCGCGTTTTACGCGGACCATCGGGATATCGCCGAACGAGAAACGATCCCTGTAATTTCCAGGGTATCGTGGTCGTCGTGGGATTAGTGTGCGTCGCGCTCGTGTTTCTCGTCGATCGGCTGGGCGACATTTTCCAAGCTTCCCAGACATTGCACGGCGTCACGTCCGGCGCGATGCTGGGCATCTTCACTCTAGGAATGCTGGTGCCGTGGGCAACGTCGACGGGCGCGATCATCGGCGGACTGCTCTCCATGTTTCTCATGGTTTGCATGATCGTCGGTGCTCAGGTGAACGTGGCGAGCAAACGGTTGTACTATCCGCCGCTCCCCGCGTCCACGGAGGGCTGTTTCGCCGCGAACGGCTCGTTTCATCACACGATCGACAACCAGACAGTCACGAGTTCGTCGAGTCCCGACGAACAGCCTTTCATTCTGTTCACCTTGTCGTTCATGTATTACACTCTGATCGGTAGCATGATAGTGGTGGTCGTGGGCACCGTGGTCAGTTTCCTGTGCGGCCCTTCGGACTTGAAGGAGGTCGACAGAAATCACTTTCCTCCGATCGTTCAAAGGTGAGCGCGTTACGAAACTTCACCGGCGTGCCGCGTCAACTCACGCGAAAACCGTTTGATTCTTACAGATTTCTGCCGTCGAGAAAGTACACGGAGGTGCCGCTGCACTCGATACCGAACACGTTGATCACCAACCCGGAGAAAGAGAAGATCAGCGCGTGAACCGGTGGGGGGTCGTTGTTCCGATTCTCCTCCCGATATCGCGTTTCCGAGAGCGAGACAGAACGGAGCGTTGCTTTGCAAGCGAATATCGGTGCGGTGTGTTAAGAACAAATTCTCGCGCGATAAGCATCTACCGGGGCGGGGATCGGCCGGTACGGTCCCGTCCTGCTCGTCCCGAGAAAGCCGCGCATAACTGGTCCGGGCCCGTCCCGGGTTGAAAGCACCCATTAGGCACTCGATGAGGGTGTCAAATTGACTAGATTATATATCTGTCCCTCGCATCTCAATACAAACAACTCTCCCAAACATCTGGAGGAAGGATGCCTATCGGATTAGGGACCGATGCAAATGGGGAACGGTGATTTTTGTCGGCCGATCCGTCGAGTCCGGCCGAAGAAATCCGCGAAAGATCGATCGCGACGAAGGAGCCGCGGGGCGGCGATACACGTGTCCGCGGTCATTCTTTCCATTCTACTCCGCGAAACTTAAGAAACACGGTCCAATTGGATGGAGTTACGAGCAATCCGAGCGAATTTATTTCCACGGCGTTTTCCATCGCGCCGCGAGTCCGTTTTCAATCAGGCGTACAGTTGTTTCGCGTCGTTATAAAAACTTCGCCGCCCTATAAACGGGCGGAGCCGTGCGCGATACGGTTCGGAAACTTGCGGCGCGATTTATCGCCGAACGGTTCACCGTTCCCGGTCATAATGGAGGAGAAGACTTTGGAGCTGCAACGAAAAATCGGCAACGGAGATATACGCGCGTATCCGTGTATAGATTACGCACAGGCAGACCCCGGGGAACAGCATAAAGGAGAAGTTTACGGGAATGGCTCGAGCGCGATATAATCGGTCACGGTTGACCGATCCGGATGCGTGGCAAACGCGGCTTTCTAAAGTATAGGCACCGCGATATTATTAAGTGTTAACGTTCGCATAACCGTCTGCGTTCCGCTCATTACGGCGAGGTACCGGTTCGCGATACTTCCTTCGCGAAGCGTTCCAACGATCCTCTTTCTTTCTACAAAAAAGTATCGTCCGGAGGTAGGGCTGGCGGCGGTCGACAACGAGATAAGGATCGCGCGACGACGCGCGCGACCATCGCGAGGGGACGGTTCGACGACGATGCGACTAACCCTTATCAAGGGGCTCGGGATGCCATCCTCGGCCTCGGAGGGACTTCGGCCGCCGACTGAAGGAGGAGGACGAGTCCACCGGGGAAACGGCACTTCTGTCTCGAACCGGAGGACCACATTCCACCGAACCATTTTATTTTATTGGACTGAAAGGTGTCAAATATAGGTGGTAAAGGCCCACCTACTTGCATTCCTGCCGGCGACCGTCCTTCTTTCTCCACGACCCGTTTTCTACGCGTAGCCCAAGTACTCGGGGAGGGGTGGAGGGCTGGACTCCGGCCCTCCATTGTGCTCCGGTGACAGATTTTTGACAGATTCCGTCCGATTCGGTGTCGAGTGACGGAGATCCGAGAGAGCCCGATATCTCGACGCATTCTCTCGCGGTTAACTAACATTCTACCCGAGTCGTTCGAGATAGATGTTTCGTGTTTGGTTAGGGAAACGTCGCGGTAGAACGTGCCGCGATCGTAACGAAGGGGTGGGCAGGGTGAAGCGTACAAGAAACGGGAAGCACGGTGTACGAGGCACGACACCGAAGCCTAAACGAGGTGCTCCGGGAATCGCACGGCTGGATGATTTTCTAATCAATAAGAGGCGAGGATGCGATCGTTCTCGTATAACCGAAGATTAACATACCGCGACGAGGAGAAGAGCAAAAGAAAACGGACCGGGCAGAGTTCCTACTCTGGAAGGCAAAGGGGAAAAAAGAAGAGTATCCGAGGAGAAACGAGGATGGCTCGTACGCACGGTTATATAGATGAAGCTACTGGACGCGACGCGACGCGACGAGACGAGACGCGACGAGACGAGACGAGACGAGACGAGACGAGACGAGACGAGACGAGACGAGACGAGACGCTGCCAACGTTTGGCTTAGGTTCTAATCTCTCCCTCTTTCTTCCTCCTTGATCGTTCCTCGTCCTAGTGGAACCGTACCACGGGGTTCCCCGGTTTTTGTGAGGCGACGGTATACGCGCAAAAGCGCATAAAAGCTGAGGGGGCCGTACGGTGTGGGATACGGCTTATTTCAGCGACAATGCTTAGGGCCAGGCGCGAGCATAAAAGAGCATAATGCACCCTGCTAACGTGAAAATTATTCTGTCAAACATTCGGACGTCGGATTACGGCGGCGACCTCGTGTCCTCCCAGGACACGCTTGCTTTTTCAGAAAAGGCACGGTTAACGGATACACGCATACGTATACGTCCCCGTATAAACGTATACAGAGTATACGAACACGAACGCGCGCGCCTGTGCGTGTCGCGTGTGCTGGACGCTGCCGTGCGTGTGTGTATACGTAGACCGTGCAGATGCCGAAAGGATTTCTCGGTCAACGAGACGATCGCTGATTTACGCGTCAACTCCGGACGGTGGCAAATTGGGAGGTCGTCCAGGGAACGCGAAATTTATCGATCCATAAAATCCGAATGTTATGCGGCATTTAAGGAAAGGGTGATGCTAACGCGATGATATAATTCACATTGCGCGGCTGGTATCTTGCCGGCGGTATTATTGTTTTTCCATGCTCACGCCTAGACCGCAACAGGATCTCCCTTTATTTCTCGTATATTTCGCTCGGTCGCTTGCTCGCTCGCTCGCTCGCTTGTTCGCCAGATCGGCCGCCTGCTCTCGCACCTTTATTTTCGTTCGCGTGTTATACGGCTATTTGCGTCCACAGCCATCCCCTTTCTGGCATCGAGTACGTAAACAGACTCTATGAAAATGAATGGCAAAGTCCGACCGTGTCTCGCACGCCTCTCGTGTTCTCGAAAGCGGAGTGCGCACCCTGGGGGAACGGGGGACGGCGAGATGCAATAGAAACCGAGATCGGCCGGGCTGCAGACACACGGAATATTGTGACATTTCTTTCTTGGCTGACATTGAATTTTCGGGCTGGCAACGCGGTGCCCCAACCGCACGCACGGTACACCCGTACCTATAGAATAGAACACGATATACCTATCTACCTACCACCCTCCCTCTTCTGCGCGCCAGGTTCCCCTTTTCCCTATACCGATACAACCGGCCGTACCCCGGCTGCTCGTACAAACAAACAAACAAGCAAACAAACGAACCAACGACCGAACGAACGAACGAACGAACGAATGCCTCCTGGTTCCATCCGTGAGGCTTACACCCGCCGCAAGGAATACGTGTCATCCCGTTGGAACGCTTCGTCGGACGTACGTCCACAATAGAATATTTTGATCCGCGATTCTCGGAACACCGCGTACGAATGAATTTCGCATTCTCTTCGCGTCGCGTGCACGCTGAAAGCTGCACGCGAGACCTACAGCAGTTTGCATGGAAATGCGTTCAAGGCGAAAACCTCGTTGCCGCGCCGCGCCGTGAGCACTCGAACAGTTAACCATTGTAATTAGTCTTCGGTCGCAAGGTATAAACGGAATCGCGAAAATTGGATACAGCGAGTTTCCAACGAGCCTTCCGATTCGACGGATCGTTCCTCGGCCGAGCCTCGCGGTCTCGTTTTTGTCGGAGACGTCTCGGACTCCCTTATCCAACTGTTGTAAAGATCACCGGCAAACCCCCTTGGTCACCGTCGGCCATTTTCCTGCGACCCCTTTGACCGTCCTCGTTTACCACCTCCTTCGAAGGACTGGGTGGTTTTCAGAGCGGCGATCGAAGTAGGCCGGAGGGTTCTAATCTGTCGGAAATTCTGTTTCGAGTCTGCGAGAGACAGTAGAAAAAAAATATATTACTTCGAAAGGCATATATTTCTTTATCGCGGCTTTATGACTGCTGTCATCGACTTTTTAAGAGTTATTATTATACGTCCTTAGGGGACATTGTCTCGGGCCAATAAATCTGCGGTTGGCCGTCCTTCGAGAGCCAAGAACCAAGTGATTTACGACCGGTTGGAAAGTTATCCGGGCAAAACGTTGCATCCACCGCTGCGATACAAGGGTGTCGAGAAGTGGCGGACGCCGGAAAAAGAGGAACGTTGTTCGTTATTCGAGCACGCCGCGCGCCAGACGAGCTGTCGGCTCGACGGCGCTTCGCCTCCAATTAACATTTCTCGTTAATGACGATCGCCGAGTTGCACGCGCGTCCGCGTAACGCCCCGGCACGATATTCTCGATTGTGCGTTCACGGCTGCCGTTTCCGTGTGTACGGGTTGTCCACGGTACATTACGCGGCACCCATACGCTCTCACGGACACGCCGATTCCGCGGTGGTGGTGCGGGCGGTGGTGGTGTGGCGGTGGCGTGGCGGTGCGCGCTGCTGCAGGAGGCACCGGATAGTCGGAGGACGAGGTGTATATAGAGCGACGGAGGGAGGGAAAAGCGGTCGGAGAAGGACGGAGCGGATCTATAAAAAAGTCTTTTCCCCTACCCGACCGAAAGCTCACCCCGCCGGAGAGGTTCTCCCCTCGCGGAACGTAACGCGTAACGAATGCAACGTGCACCCTGCACTCTCGCTCCCCTTTTCCCTCCACTACGGCCGCGCAGCTCACCCCACCGCACGCGCTTCACATCGATCCCCCACCAGCGGCCACGCAATCCCCACCGCCCCACCGGGATCTTTATTTTTATCGCGGACGACCGGCCGCGAGGTACGTGGCGTGCATTCGCCACGCCCCTATCGCGTCCGTCCCGCCAATCGGTCGCCGCTCGACCGGCCATTTTGGTCCATGCGGAGGCTGCGCGTTCATTTCCCCTCTTTGTCTTCCAGCCGGCGCGCGGCGACCTTCGAGAGTGTGTGGGTGTTCCGACGGGACGGAGATGCTGCGCTCGCGTGCACCTCGCGCCGGCGCGGTGGTGGGGCTGGGAACGAACGAGGCGAGCGACCGCGAAACCGTGGCGCGGTTAGTGTTTCCCGAAATTTTTGAGAATTTGGGGACGCCGAAAGTAGAGCAGCAGCCGGGCCAGTCGGTTGTCGAAGGGGCACGGTTTTCGCGGTCCGGCGCGAGCGAGAGGTCCTAACAGACGCGGGCCAGGATCGGTACGGATCCCGCGGAATCGTGTGCGTTCCGTCTGGATAGTACAGCGGTGGGGGAACGGGGAAAGTAGGAGGAGGTCCGAGCGTATCGCGTCTCTCCCCCTTCGATATCCGTACGCGCAGAATTCGCGTACGAGTTTCCTCGTCCGTACACGCAGGACGAGAGCTACCGTTTAATGGCCCGTAATAACGAGACGGGAACGGAAAGAGGGTAAAGAGCGAGAACCTCGAACGTACGTTCACCTTTTATCAGCCGTCGAGTTCCACGTTTCGCTGGGGGAGTAGCGGGGTCGGAGGAACAACTCCGCGAGACGGTGGTGCGTTCCGCGTCCCTCGGGATTCGAGCCCCGTTAGATTAATCGAGACCTCTTTCTCGACGCGTCTCGACGGCGATACACACTCGTCCACGGTGGGAGGGCGAAAGAGTGGCTCCGTTTCCTCGTTACGCGTCACCATTAAAATTCCTCGCGAGTGCTCCATCGGAGAAAACCGTGGGTCCGGTAAATACACCGTGTAGAGGGACCAGGGGGAACGAGCAAGAGGACGGACCACGAGTCCGCACACACCTATTCGCCCTTTCTCTCCCCCCGTTTCGGCCCGTAGCGCTGCGTCGCGGTGCGTTTGTGTTGGCGCGCGCGTGTCCGTTGCCCACGGGATCGGTGGGGAATGCTGAGAGAGGAGGTAGGAGAACGAGGACCGAGCATTCGCGATATACCCTCCGTGCTTGGAATTTTTCTCCCCGGTCTCTCTTCGTGTGTGTTCCGTGCCGGTCGTGGCCGACCCGAACGACACAGGGAAATATAACGCTCCGCAGGGGTAGGGGGTTAGAGAGCCGTCCAAGGGAAGAACGAGTGTGGGCGAGCGAGCGAGCTAGCGAGAGATCGGGCACATACACGCGTGCGCGTGCACGCTCTCTTTTCCTCTGCCGCCGTTGGAATACGCGAGACTCGCGAGCACATCCTGGGGACACGGGGAACACGTCGCGCATCAGTGTTGGGCGGTACGTGCGTCCTGGTTCGGTGGAAGCTGGTGGGGAATACCAGGGAGAAGGTAGGAGGACGAGTCCGGAGAACGGAGGCAGCGCTATCGAGTGGCGGTACCAGGAAGC